TATTTCCAGAAATCAAACTTAACACTAGAAATCCCACAATTGAAAATTTAATTCAAAACTAGTCTCACCACGCAACCTAGAATCGAACATGGTCAAGAAAGATTCTAGGAAGACTGGTGGGGTCACACCGGTCCCACTTAAAACCCAGTTAACCTTAGACAAAACTTTCAAGAGCATGTTGACTCCTAGTCCATGGGAAACAACTTTAAGAATTAAATTTTTCAATGGATGAACTAGGTTAAACATACCAAGTTCCAAACTGTACAAGCAATTACAACAAAATTGCTACAATAATTACAAGCAAATAAAACATGCTTTACATATTGGTGAATAACCACAAATGAATACTCAAGCAAACAATTACTTCAAATATTTAGTCTAAATTAATCATTTTTCCCATTTCCAAAGGTATTCCTACAATAAAGAGTTAGCAACAAAATACAACAAAATCTCCCTCAGCTTTTCTTTGTTTTTGGCAAAGTAGTGATTGAAAGGGGAGGGTACTAGCAAACAAACTAATAAATAACTGTAAGTAAAGATTAAAACCAACCCTTAAGTTACACATCTAGAATTTAAACTAAAAAAAACTGTAAAAAATTAATTACATAATAAACATGTAATTAACTGAGGCAAGTTACAAACATTTTATAACTCCTAAATACTTAAATCACATTACTAGGCAAGAATTGCAAATGACATGATTAACATGCAAATAATTCTAGAGAAATTAACATGAATTTAAATATAGGCAAGTTATAAACTTTACAACTCCACACCTAAATTAAAGATTAATAGGTATAAGTTACATGAAAATTTATTACCTAATAAACATGCTAGAAATGTAAATTACACTAAAAATTAAACCCGAATGAACATGTAATTTATATTGTAAACTAGAACCATGTGAACTAGAAGCATGTAAATCTAAAAATACAAGGCATGAACCGGTACACCATAAATTAATAAATTAATGAAAAAATACAGTGAATTAACGTTGCACCAATGGAACTCTTCTTCCCTATTGATAACAGTGGCCTATCCATGCTATGGGAAGACCAAACAGTAGCATACACAAAATAGCAAAATCAAAAGCTTAACCCTGTGTACATGCATCTAATAAACCAATTAACTCGCTAGTACTACCAGTGGCCAATTACATGCAAAATTATTACACACACCTATGAATCTATTAATCTAGTTCTACGATAGGCGTCGAATCTATTTTAAGCTTGTTGGGAAAAACTACTCACATTACATAATTTCGCATTGCATATTGCAAAATTATGAGATGAACAAAACAAACCTTCAATCTCAGGAAAAATAACATGCTGAATAAAATACAGATAAAATATAAAATGGTTAAAGGAAACAA